GAACATTCAGACCTTTCCTCACAGTCTTACTCTGCAGTACTTTTTCTTGCTGCTGCTGTTAGTATCAACTCCTGTAAATGCAAGCTGTGGTGCTGGTTTCTCACAGATTCACCTCTGCACTTCAGACTGTATTGCCCCTCAGAAGAGAACTTGGAGAGCTCAAAAATTCTCCCTTTTAAGCAGGATGGTTAATGTCATCCATCACCCTCATCCGCAGCTGTCATCAAATGTATTTCAGAGCCCCTCTGCTGAAGTCACTTGCCCTTGTTTTCTTTGGTAATTTTGCTAGTATTGTGGTCATTGTGTCAGCACTTGGGTTTTGGTCATTGAAAGGGAAAATAAACCAAGGCAGCAAAACAACTGGGTTTAGTTGTGGGGTTTGGATTTTTTTCCTGAATGTTGACAAATCTGCTTTCCTCTCCTTTCCATTAGATTAATCATCTCTGATTGAATGCTTCTTATGCTTGTAGTAACTCATTTATACAACCAGACAAAGATCTCATCTCATGAAAAAGAAAAATAATACAGATGATTCATCCCAAACTTCCTTAGATTTTTTATGAAGTCAGTCTTTCGTGATTATGGCTGATTGTACAGTTGATCGAAACAGCAAATCATTTTGGCACAGATAGAATCTGGTTATGTGTATGCCTGTAAATCCCACGTTTCAGCATGTTTTCCTGGAAAGTGTTAGAGAATCTTCCTCTCCTTGAGTGCATGTGAGTGGTGACTGGTTCAGCAATTCGGCAAGGAGGATGACAGGGTTGTCATGACAACCAGTTACATGCTGTGAGCAAAGATGGTGACAAATGACCACCTTCTGGCTGGTTATCACTTCTCCTTGAGTAGCGTTCTCCAAATTAGACAGATGTGTCTGATTTATGATTATTTGACCTGTTGACTTGTGTTTTTGCTGCATTTGTTTTGGGATAGCATTCACGCTTCTTGCAGTGATGCTTAGGCGAGGCTGCCCACTGGCCACATTGGTGTGACTCATGCGAGTAGGTGAAGCTGTTGATTTTGCTATAGTGCATAGAAAGGGAGAAGTTATCTTTGGATAATTATTTTTGTTAAAACCAAACAATTTGAACTTGCACATTGAGCCCACTGCAGGAAATAGATGGGATAAAAATAGACACGACCCACGTTCTTTCTGTTGTGCTATTGAATGGGGAGTGCTCTTTGAATTTCACTTGCCCTCAGTTGTTAACGCACAGTCTTCCTCTCCCTTCAGTGCCTGACTTGATCTTCAGCATGCATATGGGGTTGGGGGCAATGTGCTTCCCTTAGATCCTGGAACTCCTGAAGTCATTGGCATCTCTTCAAAAATACTAAATTTCTGTTGCCTTCTTCTCCTTTACTTTTGCTTTTATTTAGATGCAGAAGACAGAAGTAAAACATTCTCACTTCAAGATTTTGGAACTTCAGAAAATAAAACAATATTTCCCCCCACCTTTTTACTTTTATTTAAACCTTTTTAGCTTCCTGTCTTCCCAGTTCCTTTTTGTGCTTCCCCCTCTGTTGCCCAGAAGGATAGCATGTAATAGTATGTAATACACATGTGATATGGTGGACAGCTCTTCAATATGCTTCAGCACAACTAGGAAAACAGACATCAGATAGGAAGCTAGTGATTTCCCATTGGTGCCCAAACACTAGGACAACATATTAGATGCTGTTGCCCTCCCATTCTCTGCAATTTTTGACATAGGAAGCTTTGATGCAGATCTCTTATTAAAGACAAGGTGCTTATCAGTTTGAATTTTTCATTTATGTTGTCCATCCACTGCAGGAATGTGAGCAATGGGAGGGCCAGAGTCAGAAGTGACTTATAGATTTATTAGTGGCCAGATTATTTTTTTTACCTTTGGAAAACACTGAAAATGTTCCTGTTTGTACCATCATGCTTCCAGCCTGGACAATGAACACTTCTTTTTAATTAATTCTTTTACTGTGGAAGTATATATTTGAGACTGTGATAGGCAATCACTGTCTGGATCAAATCTGGTCTTGAGATGGTATCCCTTTTCCTCAGAGACTCTTGACAGAAGAAAAATTGTTACAAAACCGTCATAAGAATTGAGATAACTAAGCTAGAAGTACAGAACAAAAGAGATATCTCATCTTTATCTTTGTACAGTGTGGGTATTTTATTACTTAACCTATTTAGATAGTGTAGATCAAGTGTTTGCAAGTATTGTTGAGCCTTGCAGACAAGCAGTCTCATTTGAGCATTCTGCTCCCACACAGTGAAATAAGCCCTCTTTGAGCTAGAAAGACTGACTGAAAGTCTAGTGCTTGCACTAATTCCAGCAGAGTTGCATTTGCGTTAGCCAGGGGCTGTGCACTCATGTCTGCTGCTACTGCTTCCAAGGAGGCAAAATGAAATCCCTCTGTTGAAAGGAATCCTTGGGAAAGCAGAGCAGGTGTCCTTTGAATGATGCAATGATACCTCTCAGATTTCCCTGAATATATTTTGTCTTAGCATGACTCTACCTTGCTGCTGTCTCCCAACTTTCAAAAAATGTGGTTTTAGCATGTGAAATAACAGTTTAAATCGTCCTGTGGCATAGGAGCTATTACTGTACTGCACCTTCCAGGAACAGAACTTCCAGCACTCTAATAACTCTGTACAGCATTTTTACAGTCTCTTCTTTGGAGTCATGTATTATGCCAAGCTCAAGCCCTTTGGGGCTGCATTTCCTCTTACTCAAGAGTGTTCTTTTTATCCGTAAATTAGTGCCCTAACCATGCTGATTGGTGGGATTTGTTTTCACCTGAAGTAGAGATGCGTGTGCAAAATACAGGTCTGTTTTTCCAAGTACAACTCCTAGTTCAATACAAAATTTCTCACGTTACACATGTTGCCTTACTTTAGACTATTTTCTTCAGGAAGGAAGTTGGCTTGGCTAGGTTCCCTCATGCTGAGGGACCTAAGCAGAGAGACACCGACTCTTTGTCCCCATACCTTTCTTATCATGACCACCAAGTTGTCTTGGAAGTGGAGATAACACCTAGCTGCTGTTCAACAAAAATTACATGTTTTGAAATACCATTCCATTGCATGGGGTCATTCCATTGAATGGGGTCATTCAAATTTAGAGGAAAATTATTTTGCTACCTGTTATTCCACATTCAAACAGAGTAAAGCCACTGATGTCCTGATATCCCATAGTAGGTCTGATGCCTCAAGCATCTTGTTAGATCTGTCTTGATAGATTTTCTATGTTGATGATTATTTTGTTATCTTTCTTGTGATGGTATCTCTTGTGATGCCACATTACCTTTGCCTTGCACACTGAATGCTTTTATCTGTTAGAACAGTCAGTGCGCTAGGGAACCTTTCCAGTTCATGCTAGTAGGAAGCCACAGCCTGTGGAAAGGTTATCCTACCAGTCTGGCATTCTGCAGCGTGAGCTGGGACACACATATGTTTTTTGGTGGGTTTTTTTTCCAAGCAGGTTTGCATAGCAAACATGAGGCCTGGTGTTTGAGGATGAGCACATGCCCTCTGGTGCTGCCTTTTTCAGCCATGCTTATCAGTCAGTCTGAGGCCAGTCCCTTTGCGTGAGGAGCACCCGCACGCAGACATAAATCAGTCATTTGGTGTGGGAAATGCTGCTCTTTCAAAGTCCTGAGCTATGTTAATTGAGAACAAACCTAATTCCTGTTTAATTTCTCAGCATATGCAAACATATTTTGATGTATTTATTTTTTTGCTAATGGAGAAATTTTCAAAATAAATTAATATTATTCACCTAGGTGATATTTTCTTATCCCATATATTTTACATTATTTCCTTCCAACTACTTGTTCACGCATGAGGTAATTTCTTCTCTTGTAACTAATTGCTGCAGAAATGTTCTTTAAGTCTCTGGGTTAAAAAAATATTTCTGCTCTGAGTTTTGTCTGCTTTTACTTCAAAGTAATTCCTATTTAGCTCTTTCTGGTACTGCATGTCATTGCAACAATAAATAACAGTATATTGTCTTCGGTTGATTAGTTTGAAATTCACAGTTCAAATGCAACCATAGCTTAACACTTTCCTGGCTGTATGTTTGAGTAGCTGTGTATACATTCATATGTATGTATAGCAAGGACAGAAGCTGTGCCTAAACTTTAAACTTAAACTGGACTTGCAGATGTTGCACACATACTTCATTGTGTTTTTTAGATATTTGATCACATTATTTCTTGCATGACATGGCTCAAATTGTGGAAAGTGTTTTGCGTTTATTTGACTTTTATGTGGTTGAGAAGAATGCAGTCAATTTATTCAGTTGGAAAACAAAAGTGGGCAAGGTTGAAGATGAATAGGCCTTAAAATATGTAAGACCTTGGAGTCAGGAACTACATACTTGAATGCCACAGAGGCCACAACAGGAGACATTTAAAAGCAAATGTTTAGAGTACTTCTGAACTTCTGGAACTGATTATGATAATGTTTTTTATGATAACGTATGATAATGATTTTAGATTTGTGCTGTAGGTGAAGTTTTTTATTAAATTTGAGTGTAATGATATTGTGTAGCATTTCTTCTGCAGAACTTGCTTAGATTAGTCCTCAAGTGGCAGATCAGTAATTTAAGAACTTTTTAAGAGGCAATGGGGAAGAATTAGTCTGGCTTGTACCAGTGTACACTTGGAGCATAAGAGTTATTTCAAGTTATCATGACATTTGTGTGTCCTTGTGTCTGTGCATAAATTTGGGAAGAAGAAATGAGAGAGACTCAGAAAAAAGCAACCATAATAAAACACCTAGTGGAAGGCTTGAAGGCTAGACTAACAAGGAAATTTTAATTCCAAAAAGGGATTAAGAGCAGCAGTATAACAAGAAGTTATTCATCTATCATGTCACATAGGGTCTCGATAATTTGATATGTTTTCCTGGTGTTCATTTGCACAGGAACTGTAAAACAGCAATACCAGGTATGCAGACCCATGGAAGAACTTTGTGTCCTTGTGTGATGTATTTTTTTTTTTTGTCTTTCTGTTCTCAGCAGATATATGGAGTGATCATTCATTTCAGACAGACCCAGACTTACCACCTGGTTGGAAAAAGATAAATGACATTGCTGGGATCTACTACTGGCACATACCAACAGGAACAACTCAATGGCAGCGTCCTGTGTCCATCCCAACAGATCTGCAAGGCTCACGAAAAGGATCACTGGGTTCCATTACTCCATCTCCTACTCCAGAAACTGAGGTAACACACCTGCTGTGTCTTCTTGTGGGCTACATACTATAAGGAAAATTGAAATAACTTTTTGAATTTGCACCTTTAGCTGTTAGCTAAAGTGGCCTTATTATGTCCCAAAGAGTAGCTACTTATTGATAATACTTCGTAAGTATCTATACCCTGTGTTCATTTTATAATGGTGGTGCCTGGTGAAACCTTAAAATTTGGATAAATTGGAGAGGCAGTGCCTGATGAGTGTGAAACTTCCGCAGTTCTGTAGCACAGACTGAAGCATTGCTGCATTATCTGGATACAGGATACATACAGTTTTTGCACATGATAAAAGACTTTTGGCTGGACTCTTTGTTTGCATCCTCTTTTTGGCTCATTTGGTAGGAATGTCACAAAAGAGATATGAGTTTTGATTTGAGACATTAGTTCCTTTACAGGGTAGTTCCTATTGAATAAACATGTAGTGTTCTCCAGTGTAAGTTTCTGTACATCCTGCCAGTACCAAATTTCTACCAGTGTTGCAGTCAGGCTTTAACTAGAAACAGAAAGAGATATACTCTGTCCTCCACATGTGCTGAAAGAGCAGTATGTGGTACTGCCTTTTAAAATAATGCTTTCATGTACAATCCAAAGGTTTGTTTCGTGTCATGTAAATAGAAAAATAAAATGAGTTCTCATGAAGAGCGTATTTCAGATCGTACAAACACTTTGTTTTAGTATGCTGGGAATACTTCTATGGAATTAAATACTAACATAAAATAAGTTTGGCTTTATATTATTTTTATACTGAATTTTCAGAAAAATGTCCACAGCTCTGTCAAGGAAGTCTTTGTACTGGCTCTGAGTTTTGGATCAGGCAATCCCTAGGGGTTTAGTTTTTTGGTTTTTAATTCATTTAGAGAGAACATTTTTTTCTGTTCTTGATTTTATTCATATATGCACCAAACTAACTTGCAGGAAAGTTAAGAGGAGTTAAGGACATTCAACTATGTATTCCCATCTTGACCCTGAAACTTTTATCTGTGTAGGCTTGAAAATGTACAATCCTGTTCATTGTTTTAGAAAGGTTGTTCCCACATTCATAAATGCTACTCATAAGATCTGCAAACTTGACCACAAGACTTCAGTTACCATTTACATCAGTCAAGCTCTCATACTGTACACCATGCATGCTGGAAATAATTTATGAGAGGATTCATGGAGAAAGAACTGTAACTGTTACCATTCTCAAAGTGCTGCACAAGTTTCTAGTATAAATTCCTGTAATATACATGTGAATAATATAACTTTACCATTATTGTTTTTCTTACTCTAGAGAATGGTACCCTAATTTGAAAATGAAAATTTTCACAAAAACACAGAAATCAGTGTGGTTGGTAAACTGCAGAGGAAAAATGGTGTATTTTCATTTAAAATATTTTTCTACTTCTTTTTAAAGTGTCTTTACAATTAGAATTTCAGACCTCCTGGTAATGTATCACATGTATTATTAACCTTTCACGATTCTGTTTGCTTTAAATTAAATATAGTTTGTGATTATGAATAATAATCATTAATTCTCAGCAGCATCATGAGAGTAGAAAATGTATGAATTAGATTTTTGAAATAATTATAGATGTATTAAGGAAGACACATGTATGTGAGTACATAGTAGGCTCACCTAATTTTTGATATGGCAGCTCTAATTCAGCAAGGAATTTGTTCCAGCAAAGATTTATGCGTAGACAGTTCTATGGAAGCACCAAGATCTTATACTCTGCTGTAAAAGTTGATACAGAAAATAAGCACAGCACCAAAATTTGTATTAGTATGATATCATGTACTTATTTTAATTGTAGATATAAGCAAAAGCATTTGTTTTTTGTCAGTTTGTGCATTCATTGATAAGCATCTTAATGTTACTGAAGCAGTACTGGCTTTTTGACTCAGTGGTCATTAAGATAGCATTCTAATACAGTACCTACCAGCAGATTTACAGTGCTGGAGTTCAAAAAAGAGCATGAATTGGGCTCAGGATTTTGCCCACTTCCAAATACTGAAACAGCTACAGAGGCTCCAGGCATAGCTGGAATTTATAACAAGAGCAATTAAAAAAAGTCTTGTGTTTCTTGAATGAAGGATGCCAGGATTTATTAAAAGGAAGCGGAGGAAGAATCCTTTGTGATTCAGCTGGTTCTGAGCAGAACCCCAGTGCAGAGCAGTAAGAGAGAAATAAGTCATAGTGTGTGTTTAAGAGATAGGGGTATTGAAATAATTTGAAAGTGTTATCTATCATGAATTTCTGGGTTTTAGTCTCTCTGCAATTAGTACATGCCAGCACTGTATCACCTCCAAGTCACTGGAAGGTGGTATTTGTTTCAATTCCTGTTCACTGCACTGCTGCATACCTAAATGCTCCTCCTTTCCCTCCCTGGGAAAGGGTAATACAGGTATCTGTGACAAGGTCAATCTGACACTTCACAGAAGGCTGTGAATTCAGTCTAGACTACGGGCTCCCAAATGCCTCTGTCCCAGCACTACCACTGGCAGCATCACTTGTTGGCAGAGAGCTTCCACCTCCAAGCTGGACCTGTGTGTGAGCTGTGTACAGCTGGTTCCTTCATTGCTGCTGGAAGCCTGTGCTTCAAGATGATGTGTTTTGAGAGGGCTGGTTTAGCTCGTTCTCCCATGCTGGATTTGTATTTCTTCATTCTGAGAAGGTTGGGAGATATATAGGTTTTAAGCAGATGAAAGAGTATAATCTAGGATTGAGGACTGGCATGGGTAGCATTTCATATCTGAACAAGCTGGCTTCTATGAGTCCATCAGTCCATAAAAATACTTCATCTAAATCACATTTGTCTATAAAACATCATGTGCTAGTCCTGAAATGAGTTGAAATGAGTTTATTTGGGCTTTTTCAGGTTATGAGATTGTCAAACAAACATTTAGAGACACCTTCCCCCTCAGCCCCGAGTAACACCTTTTTGCCCTTTGTCTTGTTTCCTCCTTTTTTTTCCCTTCATTTTATTTTGTTGTGTCCCAGTCTCTTAAATAATATAGTATACAGAAGCTTTGCTTCATTTGGTAGAATGTGGCTCACAGCTGAGGGCAGTCATCAAAGAACAGATCAAGTCATCCATTTTTATGTTGTAGCTTACTCTGGATATTTAGCATAAAGAAAAAGTTATTACTGTTGAACAGAGAATCAAAGAAAAAAAAAGTGTAGAGAGGAATAATGCTGTTGTGCGTAGAAATGGCAAAATGTTTTAAAAAGGAAAGTAATGCAAAAATGTATTACTTTTACACAAAGTGCAAGGCAATTTTTCTTTCACAAGATAATCAGTAAATTTCAATCCAAAGCAATTATGGGTTAAGCATTATGCGAAAATCCTGCTGATTTAACAAAAATGCTAATAAATGCTAAATATGAATAACCTGTAACATTCCTTCCCTTCCTTCCCTTCAAAAGTGTGAAAATGTATTTTGGTTTTGCACAGCTGTTTAAATTTAATTTATTTTTATATCTCATTTTTCTCTTGTGTGTTGTTGTATTACTTCCTTTTTGAATCACTGTCTTTTCCAAATTTTAGAAATTTTGCTGCCTCTTTCCCATTTTCTGTACAGAGAAAAGGCTGTAGTGTTTAAATTTCAGTATGATCTTCTTTGAGATCATAGCAGAATTTGATGATGGTAGTTGTGTCTTCTTATAGCTTAACTCATCCCAAGTCTTGAAGACCTCTAGAAGTTCTGTAGGTAGTATAATCACTAGCAGCTAATAATGAAAAGAGAAGAGGCTTGGGAGGAAAAAGTAGCAACTCAATTAGTTCAAAGACACATTAGGAATGGGTTACTCCTTTCTGGGATATTTCTCACTAAATAATTCCTCCAGTGGGGATATGTTGAGAATGCTTCTGAGGTGAGAAGCCCACCTTGCAGATTGGGCCTTATCAGTGGTTACCACGTCACCTTGGGGCTGAGCTGGACAGCCCAGCAGAGCTCATCTTAAAAGGGGAACTCATTTCAGGATTTCTTGATTTGGTGAAGCTATAAAGAGGTGGCTGTGGGTCTCCCAGCAGTCAAATCTCCTGGCTTGTATTGAGGACTGTGGGAATTCTCTCCTGGTGAGACAAAAAAGAGAGGCACTCCAGCATCAGGTGTTCCTCTCAAGCTTTACAGAAAAGCCTGAACCTCGGGTTGCTTAGTGCTAAACACTGCTACTTGGTTGATTGTATCACTGAACACCTCTGAAAATTTTTGAGAAACTTGAATGGAAAATGAGAGGGTGGGTGATTGGTTTGGGGTTGTTTTTTAAAAAAGCTGCTAGACTTTTCAAAAATACTTTTTCAGCAAAGAATCTCTGCACTCCTTACTAATCCTTATTCCCTTTCTTGCCTTTTTCTTGTGCTTTCTCTCTAGAAATATTTTATTTTTACCTTGTATATATCTTATCCTTGCATATATTTTTTTTGTGTTTCAGTATTTCTAGTTCCAGTGCCACTAGGGTCTTTTAACTAAAGTGCCAATCAAATAGAAATCCTAATGTTTCCCCTTAATTGCTGTTGATCAAAGGCTGTAGCAGCTGTGGCCAACATTCATATTCAGATTCATTTTGCTTGCTTTTAAGATCATAGTTAAAGAGTAATTTCATTGTCTGTTCCTAATTTATATTAACTTTCCTTGTTTCAATCATTTGTTTTGGTAAGTAACTGTTAGAAGCATGTCTTCTCTCCTCTTTCCTCCAAATGTCATGGTATAGTGGAGTAAGTAGTTGAAGTTTGAGGTGATCTGTTCCCTAACCCATCCTGTAAATATCAATGCTAACAACAGTGTCTTGTGTTTTTTTTTTCTTTTTCTTTTTTCTTTTTTTTTTTTTATCAATGTGCTTCTTCCTGTGTGAATAATTATGTGTCTAGAAACAGCCATGGAGTGATTTTGCTGTACTGAATGGGGGAAAGATTAATAGTGACATTTGGAAGGCAAGTATATTGTCAGATTTTAGAACCTTTACTGCTATTACCCTTGTTTTTTGCATGGCAGTGGCTGTTTTCCCTTTTTATTTTTCCATGAATGTCATTCATAACCTAGGCCAAAGCAAATGGGGGTACTGCTAGGGATGTCTAGCTCACAAACATGCTGCCTTTTCTGATCTTTCCACTTGGGATGGATTCAATCTAAACTAGCAGAGCAACTGCCATGATGTAACAAATAAGATGCCTGCACTGAATGAAATGCAGCTTGAGAAATATATATATATATATTTATATATATATGCATGCCTCTTTTCAACTTCAGCCAGAAATACTATCGCTTCTTTGCAGGGAGGATTTAATTTCCCTTTGAGATAAGAAATAACACAATGGTGTTCTTAATGCTATTATAATAGTATTAAAACTTCACTAATAGCACTGCCTCTATCTCTAGGACCTGCATGCAGCCACTGTGAACCCAGACCCAAGTTTGAAAGAGTTTGAAGGAGCAACATTACGCTATGCCTCTTTGAAGCTCAGGTATAATGACTTCAGAAGTTTCAGTGCAATGACCAACTCTGTTCTACATTATGCTGTAATTGTCATATGATTTTAAGACTGATTATGTCTTTTTGTTTTGTTTTGGTTGGTTTTTTTTATGTCACAGAAATGGTCCACAATCTGATGATGATGATTCTTGTAGCATCAACAGTGATCCAGAAGCCAAGGTCTGTATGAAGATCCACAATGATATGACAATTAAAAATCTAACAGTTGTAAGCATAAACTTACAAGGTGCAGAATGTCTCCTTAGTTTTGAAATTAGGTGTACCCCTCCTCTTGACGCAATGCAGATTGGCTATGCAAGACTAACTCCATCAAAGGAATTTGCAGATCTAAAGCTTCATTCACTTGGATCAGGAAAGTGTGACTTATTTTAAAATCACATAAGCCAGGAAATTGGATTTTAGAGACCAAGATTCTACTGTCAAACTGTAATAACTGTCCTCTTGCACAGCTAAGTGAGTATCTGTGTGAGAGAGGGCTCTATTTTGTGTTATCTCTGGATAGCTTCCGGGGCATTCAGTGACAGAATTTGCTCTTTATTTTCAAGTTTGTCCTTTTTAAAGTAGTCTTCCTTTTTTATATGTCTGCTTCAACTTACAGCTACTAACAAGTTTCCTTCTAGAACAAGAAACTTCATGTTTTGGAAGAGAGAATGCAACCTACTTTGATAATGCATTTCACAGAGAAAAATTAGATCATTATGTGATGAAGCACCGTAATTAAATCAAAGTTTTTACTGTTGTAATCTAAGAGTTTTGAGGAGAAAGGAGCAGCAGAAAGTTTTGAGTGCTTGCATATCTATCTCCAGATTTGTCTTGTTGATAGTTTTGCCTTGTTATTGTTAAGGGTTTATATGAATCTCTATAATTGAAAATCCAAGTAATTTAAATAAGTATTTTGGCTGTGCCATACAGCTGCAGCAGCTGACGGGATCAGAAGCTACTTATTTGCAGGAACAAACATGTATGTAACAGTGTTGATAATTTTAATAGCATTAATGATATATTTTAAGGGAGAAAACAGACTTGATCAGGGCACTTAATTTTATTTGTCATCTTGATTATTTAGCTTGTCATGTTTGAATCACATATAAATAATTGTATTTTGTTTGGCCCACTGGTATTTAAAAGCAAGGGTTTCAGCTGTGCTCATTACAATGACAAGCACTAAATTCTGAGCACTGTAAAAGGAGTTGGAGTGATGAGCATTAGGTTCCAGTCCTGAGAATTATAGTTGTTCCTTTCATGACGAGCCTTACCGTATTTAATTTGGAGCAGCAGAGGCTGAGGGCAGAGCTGATCTGCCTGTGCCCCAAGGAGAGGGCAAGTATTGCCATATGTCACAGGAATGGGAAGTGGTCCAGAAACAGCAGGAAAAATCTTCACCTGTGGAAAATGCTCTAGGATCTTCATGTCTCACAAGGATGGGGTAGGTGGATTCCTCGCTAGTCCATTTTACCCCAAATATTGAGAGACTGAAAGAAGTCTGATAGGATTTGGAGTTGATGATTTGGAAAAATCAGGTATTTTTAGCTCTTTAGGCTCTGCCCTGCAAAGTTATGTGCCTTAACTATCTTTGATTGAAGCTTGCTTTTGTGTGGCAGCAAGCACAGATAAATACTTTGTCATTTTATCACAAGAGAAGGAAGTTTTTTTAAACTCATTAAAGTGTCTACTGGAGGAATTAGTTAAAACAAACTTTATTAGAGGTATGTTAGAGACCTTAAAACTATTCATGACATTGGCCAGTACATTTGTGGAAAAAAACAGCTTCTCTGTGGCATGTTTAATGCTTTCTGCAGCAACACATTTAAGCATTCATAATTGTCAGTAAAGAACAAATGTTTCACTGTTTATAATGTGCTTAAGATGCAGTTCATTGTTTGATATCCATGGCATCTCAGTCAGGCTGTCTGCAGAGGGTCATAAAGGAGAAGGGGAAAGAAGAGAATTACTACATCCAGCTTCTTAATTTCAGTAATTTATTTTGGCAGAAATTTCTTGAAGAGATGGCTCATTGTGCTTGATGAGGATCCTAATTCTGCATGTGAAACATGCACAGCTAGAAATGAGTTTTGAATTGGTGCTTCCCAGGAGACAGATCATAACCTTCCTGGTTAATTTATAGAGCAATGTGTGCCTTCCTAATTGAGTTTCTAGGAAGGCAAAAGATGTTTTTACCAATCCCAGACTGTAAATTCTTCTGGGTTGTCTTCTTTTTCATTGTTATAAAATATGATATCCCTATGTAAAAACATAGGAAGGTGCTAAATTTTTTCTTATGTCCGTATATAGAAACAGAACCTCCTGGGAAACCTGTCACTGTCCCTAGGAATGGATGAAAAATGGAAAGCCCATGTGACTGATTTCCTTTAAAACCTTTTACAGGTTGGCTTGTTTGGCCTGACATTTGGATGTGCCTTTATTTTCTCCTTTTCTCTTTGAGCTTGGATTTTCAAATTCCCTATCCACATTAGTCTGCTCAACAAAGCTTCACTTCTCCAGCCTTACCATTTTAGAGCAGTTTTAGCTATATAATATTATCTAAGAATGGGAAAAATGTATTGAAACCTGTGGAAGGTTTCAATACATATACTCCAATACATTTACTCCAAAAGACTGTTTTCTACTTTAGAAACCAATAAATGTTCTGTATCTCAAAGGAAGAGAATGAGACTATTTCCAAGAGAGAGAGTATCAGGAGATGTTAACAGGTATTTAAATTTAGTGATTCACCTGTAGGTGAATGAAAACACTCTTGGAGACATAGAAAGTGAATTGGTGATGAATTTCTATGAATTAATTGGGTTTTAGTGTTTAACCAGATGGCCTTTGGCAAGCTGACTTGTGGCTGTTGTGAAAGTGGCCTGTAAATCAAAATAATCCATCTAAGCACTATCAAAATAATTTTACAAAATACTACATGCTCCACAAAGATTGAATATCCCTATCTTCACTGCTTTTCTTACTATGGAAGCAGGTGTATGTGTTTTGGATATTGTATATTTGCTTCTTTCTGGTCCTTTCCCGAAGCAAAAACGCTGCCTAGACACAGGATCATGTGCAAATATGCAGCATGTATACCCTTGGGGATGGGCATGAATCTGATTTCTGACCCAAGTGAAGACTTAACCTGAGAGGAGCTTTTGCCATGCCCAGCAATCCCAAGAAAGGGTTCTTTTTTTACAGTCAGAGTAGCTTCTAAAATTCTTAATGCAAGCAGGGGGTATTCAGCATCTTCCAGCACTATACCTCAGACTGCATTATAGTCTTCTTACAAGCTCACAAAATGCTTCAGAAAGCTTCAGTTCAATTAATTTCAATTAATTAAATTTAAGGAGTTCATTCCATCTTAAATCTCTTTACAAAAGGAGATCAAGTCTAAAGGAGAAATACAGTATCTTCAACAGTTTTGCTTCTAAAGTGGTATTTTGGTTTGATTTTGGATTAGGAATTTATTTCTTTCAAAACAATCTTTTGTTTTCATTCCCTAGGAAATAGCACTAGAAGAAATCTTGTACCCATTCCTTTATTCTTAAAAGGGAACCACAATATATAAACCCTTGTATTAATTTCAAGTTTAGAATAAAGCAGTTTTTTGGGGTTTTTTTCCCACCTTGACTAGTCTTACTGACCAGCTGATTCAATTGTAATTCTCCCTTCCACCTTTGCAGCTCCTGGGTAGCAATGGTGAGTGATGGGGGTGGCTGTTTCTAAACTGGTTTGTTGTCTCTGAATTTGGCTGTTTGCCCTTAGCAGCATTAAGACACCCTCCTGTCCATAGAGATGCTGCAGGTAAATGATGCAGGTGCTTGAAAATGTTCTGCTTCAAAAGCAGTTTTCGAAATAGCTGCCTAAAGCATTAAAATACCTCATATCCTCAATGATTTATTTTTTTAAATAGTCTTCTTCATGTTGTGCATTAGACCTTTCTGAGAATGTTTGCTTGTTATTTATCTCTGTCAAAGATAGTCATTACTATTGACATCTGTTGTGTCATTAGGTAAAAACTGGTAATATCATGATGTGATGTACATCATAATACAGATTTCCATCTAGAGGCTATTTGTTTCCACCTTGTTCCTAAATGGAGTCTTGTTTAATCAAATATGAAGATAACTTCAGGTCAGAGGAAAATGTAGCATTTTCCCAAATCTCATGGATTTACTTTATAAGGGCATACAGTTACAGTGTGTTTTTTTGTTATATTACATGTAAAATATAAATATCTGGGATAATGTAGCATAACTTCTCAAGCCATTCAAGATTATAATGAGATCCTTCAAAATATTACATGTCTTTCACTCCTAGGAATCCCATATATCTCTGGGATCTAATTAGCTGTGAACCAAACATGCACAATCAGGACACAAGTGCCTAAACAGCAAGAGGGATGTAGAGGAGAGATTTTATAAATATTCTTCCTTAGAAAAACACATCACAAAGCCATTCCTCATGTGAAAAAGAATGGAAACTGCTTGAATATTTACCATTAGTTTCTAAGTTTGTAATGCAAGAATCACGTCTTGAGTTTGGGGGCATTATCAGGATTTGCTTTGTAAAGATACACTCTACAAAAGGTTTGCACTAGGCTGTGAGATTTCTGCAGGACTGGGAAAAGAGAAATCATAGGAACACCTTTTTTCGAAATCAAAACAAAATATCTTCATGGCCAGTAAAATTCCAGTATTGACAGTAGCTGTGTCTGCCACAGGTGTGTTGGCCAAATTTGTCGGGGTAGTAAGAACATAGGTGCCAAATGGATTACAGGAGGATGCGTGATGCATATGGGAGCTGTGCAGGTCATGCTTTGCTCTTGGAACAATTACTACCTTTGCCATGAGTGGCCAAGTTGTGACCCCTGTCCCTGGGGAGGCAGCTTCCCTGGTTGCCAGTCAGGTGAGGTGACACTGGAGGCAGCCTTGCCTCTGGAATTGCAACTGTGGGACACCCAATGTGCTGCTGTGGCCTCTCAGGCATGGAATACTAGTAAGTGCTGGCTATGTTTGACAAAACATGAATGAACCTTTTTTTTTCCTTAATGATGTTGTTTCTTCCATGGTGGCAGTTTCTATTGCTGTGCCAGTGTCATCTACAGTACTTTTCTCACGGAAGTGCACAGTCCAGTTTTTCTTGGCTGGAGTTTGCATACAGCATCTTGC